CCACCCGCCTTTTTACAGGTTAAAAACGGGCTTTGTATTTTCCTGCGCTTTCTATCCGCTCTCGCAAAGTCCACCGGTGATCGTGCCGTGGCCTGACCTGGACACAATATCTCTTGTCAAAATAATTAAATCAGCTGGTTGCCCCGAAATCCCGCAAAACATGAGAACTCGCCACCGTGTTGCCTCAGTGAACGCGATGTTCCTTTTGTCGCTGCAAATCGACGATACCTATTACAAATTGTAAAATGCGTGTTCGTACTTTCAAAACTCCTCTTGAAGCACTAGTACAAATCTCTGAATGCTAAATAAGCTTGATTTATAGGTCAGACTTGAACACAGTAAACATTAGTGGAATGTGAAAGTTAGCGACTAGTTGTTTCCATTTTTTGAGAGGTGTCTCCTGGTTCAAATTCCAAAAAAACGTTTGTGCTGTTAGTTTTGGAAGAGAGTTTGTACCATTTCCTAAATATAGTAGCCGTAGTATAAAAGCTAGATCAAAAGAAGGTGCCTGTATGAAGAAAATTATTCCCTGTTGCTGTTTATAGTATAATAGTGAACTCTGCAGTTGACTCTAGTTTGCAGCAAGAAATAAGTTGTGTGGCAAGGAGAGTGATGCTTGACATCGCCTTTATTAAGCAACAGTGAAGAGCGATTTTTCGTTTCCAGTATGAATGCCGACTTTGAGAGAATCGTTTCTGTATTGCCAGATTTTGAGAATGAAGCATTATTTGTTGGCGGTTACAGTGGTACGTCGATGCTGTTATTGAGGGTATGTAATCATCACCACAGCTTAATTTTTGCATGAAAGAAAATCATTGCGACACTACTTTTTATTGTGACATTTCAAGATATCGTGGCAGCCAGACGGCTTGCCATCACATTCTCGCATTTTTTGGAGAAGAAGGAGTTTTCCAATGTCGCGTTTTCCCATGTGTATGGACGCAGGCGGGAAAACTTTGTTTGTACTCAATTCAACGACGGTAACGTTATCTGATCACAGTGTGCTATTACTTACTTTGTAGTGTGAACTCTCATGAATTATTTTTCAGGTTATTCGTAATCAAATAACCTGTTCTGGTTTATACAGCAGTTGTGACGATCTGGCGGAAGGTGAGACCTATATATTAACATTTTAGAATTTTTTCATTAACTTTTATTCAATTTTGTTTCATGGTGAAATATAACAAATGGATAATATTCGAGTTCTTATCCTACAACACACTTCAATTGAATTTCAAGTAGAGAAGGCTCCGAACG